TCAGCTTAGTTGAAAAGTTTTCAATAAATAAATAAAACCAAAAGTGAAACGTAAAGTGAAAAGCAAAAAAAGCGAAAAAACAACGAAAAAGCGAAAAGGACGACAAAGGGCAGGCAGGAAGTGCAACGCAAGCGCGCAAAAGATGAAATCGAATAAATTTGCCAGCGAGGGCATCTCGATGAGCCAAAAGTAGTGTATAGCAGCAATGGCGGCAGGCATCCAAACCGAGTGACCTCCTTTCGGGAACAGCGAACGAATGTTGTTGTCTGCTGCTGTCTGTGGTTTTTGGAGTTTTGTCTTTTTGCATGGCTTACTTCGAATATTTATGCGCTTTTAATGATACCAAAGTAGTATACCGAGAAGTTTTATGTATGTAATTTATATGTATGTATAAACATACCTATGTACATAAATACTATCCATTTCGCGACGGTAGATAGCCTAAGTACTATATACGAGTAGTATTTGTGGCAAGTGTGGCATAATACTGTTGGCGCTTAGAAAGTTGCGGCAAACAAATGGCCAGTGGAAAGAGTGAGCGCTCAAAGTTAAATTACGGGTGAAATAAGTAATTAAAATGCACACGCACACAACAATGCGTAGCCATTAATGGCTACACAAAAATCCAAAGGAATTCATTAAACAAATAAGGCAAATTTGTGGGGCGTCAAAACCGCAAATCATCTTCAGAGTAAAAGTAAGAAAGTGGAAATGAAATTCGCAGACCATGGCCAAGGCGCTGGGCAGGAAGGCAAGCCACAAGTAAACAACAGCAACAGCAACAACAACAAGCTCCTCCTCCTTCTCGATCGGGTGTAAATGGACAGGAAATGAGATAAAATCGTAAACGGAAGTTTGTTAACAAGAGCAAATTCAACAGCGGAGGGGCGCAAAAACAAGCTGGGACACCACAAGCGCTACGAGTGTCTTTTAGCGCAAATAAAAATGAAAGCAGTGAAAATTTGCCGGCTAGCACGCCCACAAGCGTGCAATTAAAGACGAAAATAGGATGCGAACAGCCACGTACATACATATGCATGTATGTATATTAAGGTGGCCCCTAAAATAACAGCATAATGAGGCACCGCTTTATTTTATACGTAGAAAATAAAAATATTTACGAAAATTTCAAATTTTGATTTTTTTTTACTTCGACCAGCTATAGTTCAGTGAATTTGTGGATATTTATACCAATAAGGTTAAGTAATATGAAACAAATTTTCAGATTTAAAACCAAAATTTTTGCGAAATCTTGCCATTAAAAAAAAAAAATTTTTTTAAAAACCTTAAACATTTTTTTTTAATTTTGAAATTTTCGTGGGTATTTTTATTTTGCACGTATAAAAAAAAACATGAAGTGGTGCGCCATACAAAATTTTTATTTGTATTTATTTATATTTACAATTTATTTTATACGTAGAACACAAAAAGCAAGATGTTGTTGTTTTTAAGGACATCCTTCAAAAAAATTTGGGTTTGAAAAAATATTTTTTTTTTTAATATTTACAAAATTTTTACTTTGACCAGCTATAACTCAGCGAGTTTAGGAATTTATAAGAATAAGTTCCAATAATATCAAAAATTTATCACATTTCAAGCCAAGGTTTTGTCGAATTTTTGCGATTTAAAAAAATTTTTAGTTTTTCAAAACCTGGTAGCGATCTTAAACATGTTTTTTTTTACTTTTGAAATTTTCGGGGATATCTTTATTTTGCATGTTGATATTTTTAACATCCGCCCTAATGTATACATATATGTATATCACAACAATTGCCATTCTATTTTGTACGTAGAACAAAATTAGGGGGTACCACACAAAAAATTTTGATGTTGTTATTTTTAAAGACCGCCCTAATGTAGTACTGTATATACCATATATATCACACCAGTTGCCAATTTGACATGTCTCTGAGGCCAAGCAAAGCAAACAATTCAACAAATTAGCAGTAAGTCAAACAATTATTCAACTCGAATCGAAATGGTAGTTGTGCAAATAAAAATGGCAGCTGAAAGAAATCAGCGGCGGCAACGTAAAAACCGAAAGGAAGTAGGCGTGTGCATTTAAAGAGAATTGAAGCACCCACTTCTTTTTTAGCTCGATGCTAGCAAAAAAAAAAAAAACAAAAAAAAAGCTCGCCCAATTTGCTTGTAGCATAATTTATTTTGAGGAAAATTAAAAGCAAAGCCAAGTCACTCTAACAAAAATATATCGCTCGCGCATCAATCAAACGAAGTATCTAATTTTAGCTGAAATATTCATACTTACCATCTCTTTAAAATTCACTAATTATATGCTATATATGTATGTATGTATGTACATAGTACACAGTTGTAGCTCGCAAACTGACCAGTAGCAGGTGTCTGCCTAACTAAATATTCGCATTTGTTGCTTGTCTAACGTTTGAATACTTTAATAGCCAACGCCATGGTTGTCAGCTGCTCATTATTTCACTTAAAATGCCTGTGTAATAATTTAAAAGGAAATACATTCATAGATATATATGTATATATATTTTGTTGGCGCGCATAAATTACGTTGTCGGTGGGAAGCAACAAATCAACAAAGCTTTTAGCATTTATTTCACAGGCTTTTGTTAAATTTAATGCATTATTTTTTTTGTTATTGAGCTACTCGCTTACTGCTACATAAATACAATCTGTGTCGTTGAGTTTATTTTGCATAATAAATTGAGTTTATTTCATTTGTAAAAGGAAATCATTTATATTTTTCTATTAAGATGTCATTTGGTACATGCTCCTTTGGTGAAATTCGCTAAAGGAAATTTAGTTGATAAATATAATAAGGATAAGGAAGGCATTGTAGAACTGCGTACCACCCTTACAGGGCAGTCAGACGTGGCAATGGAAGTACTTTTTTAACGCGTTTTGTGGTAAAATTTTGAAGATGAAATTTAACTTTCGCTTGGGAGCGCACAAAAAATATATACTGTCACTTTTTGGTAATTAATTTCGCAAATAATATTTGCATGCAATTGAAAGTGCGCAAGTTGCTTGGAATTTTACTTTTCTTCTGCAAGTGTATAATTTTATAACTTTAGAATCCGAAACTTAGCAACGCAAGCACAACTCGCAAAGGGCAACTCGGGGAATGCCAGCTTAACCAAAGTTATTAACCCTTTCAGAACCCAGCGAGGAAATTGTGTGAAGATGTTTAAAATTTTCTGTTTTATTTTCAATGTCCCTCATTATAAGCTTTTACATATTACGTTTCAACTGTGTGTCATCAAATCTTGCAATCAAATTTTAACCAACTTCCCAATGAGCTCGATACTTGAAACTTTAAATTTAACTCAGAACACGATGGCAACGCAATATGAAATATGAATTAGTCCTCTAGGTGGCGCACGTGTCGAGATATTTGGAGACCCCGTACTTATGGGCCGCTTTAGTACATATTTAAAATGTGTATTTCCCACATGAAAAAGGATAAGTCCACTATAAGTTTAGTATTAGTATTAGTTTAGTATTACTTAAATGGAAGGAAATAACTCTACAAAAAATTTAACCGTCGTGAGGTGCGGGGTGGACTTTAATTTTTTTATTAACCACTAATAAAAGCTTGTCTTTAAAATTTGTTTTAAATAACTTGTTTTTATTTAGCATTATGATAATTTCAGAAATAAATATTTTACCAGAACTAGAAAAATTTTCCAAAAATTAGAACACAAAATTTTAGAAAAAGATTAATTTGTTTTTTTTTTTGTTATTTTACGGCCTTATAGCAATTATATTCAACAATTGAGCTCGAGGCCGTTTTTATAATTGTTATAGGGCCATAAAATAACAAAAAACAAAACAAATAACTTAAGGACGAGCACACCTAAAAGTCAAACACTCTAAAAAATAGAATTATTAACAAAAACCAACAACCACATGATCAAGTGTAAATCGTAGCGGAATAGCTGCGCTGGATTGAGTTGGCTTAGCAAATAAAAAAGTGGGAAAAAAGCAACGATAATTTACAAGGCTAACTTAGCACAGTGCGTAGGCAACTGGCTGAGTCAGTGGGATCATCGGTTCGAATCCTACTGAAAGAAGTCTGATGAGGAAACGTGGTGATTTCCGAAATAGCTATCACTTCTACCATTTTTTCAAATTAGTTTTTTATTAAAAACGGCCTCGAGCTCAATAAAAATTGTTGAAAAAGCCTAATTTAGAAAAAAAAAGTTTATAAATAAAACGTTAGTTTTAATGAAAAAGTAATATTTAGAAAAAAATTTTTAAGTTTGTTTTTAGAAAAAATATTAGAAAAATGGATAATTTTTAGAAATACGTAACTTTTAAAACAGATTAGTTTTTAGTGTTGCTTTTCCACAATAGTTTTTATTACAAACGACCTCAAGCTCAATAAAAATTGTTAATAAAAAAAATCTTAAAAAAATAAATTTTTTTTTAAGAAAAAATGTTTTTGCCTTTAATAGAATAAAATTTCATAAGAAAAAATCTTTTTTGGGGAAAAATGTATGGAGGAAAAATTTGAACGAAATTAAAACCACAAAAAGTTTTTTTTAGCATATGTATTTTAGAAAAATTCATATATTTTTTTAGACTTATGCTGGATTTCCACTAGGCATGAAATGGCAGAAATTTTAATGACAAACTTGGGAATTAAAAATTATTATTTATTGTCAATACTTAAACAAAAATAGTCATTTCCACACGGCCTTTTTTAAATGCCTCCAATTGTTTGCCTAGTGGAGATTCGGCATTACAGTCCAGAAGGGAAGCTAAGTCGAAAAGAATAAAAATATAAAATAAGAAAAATTCTAGGAGCTATTTCTTAGTACTTAACTCAGAAAATACGTTTTTTTTGATTATGGACTATTTTATTCTTACAGCAAATGAGCGATATGTAAAAGTATGTATGGATGTGCAATACCACTTTTATAGACATGCCACAACTTTTCACTATTAATTCATTAACTCTTGACCCTACTTTTCTAATGGCTTATATCTCTTGTTTTTTTTTTCATTTACAGATCACGCCGGTGAACTTGGTTGGGCGTTCACCTTAATCATAGTTTCAATCATATCAGCTCTTATAGGTGCTATTGTAATGGTCATAGTTCTAAGGTGTAGAAGGTGAGTCAAACATATTTCTACATAACAAAGATATGAAATTTAGTATACACTCATACTCATATATTATTTGAGCTACTCAAAACTAACAAAACAACAGCAATAGAAGTTAATTAAGACACAAAACGAAAGACTTAAATGACAAACTCGTCAACAGGTAAGCACAATTTTTTTTTTCAACATATAGTTAAATACATATATGTATATCACCGTAAAAATAGCAGCCGAAGGAAGCATCATGATATTCACCTAAAAAAAGATAGTAATAACAAATGACCAACAAAACAGGCAGCCAACCAGTAAGTCAATTAGTCAGCTGATATTTGACTTTGCGCGCACATTAAACCTGCCATACATACACACAAACATACATACATATGTACATGCATCCAGTGATATCTAAGTGTGTTGTACATAATTATATTGTCGGCTTTAGTTATGTGCTAATAATGGAAATGAAATTAACACGAGTGTTGTACATAGATAGTAAGTAGGTACTGTTGTTGTATGCGCATCAGTGCCACCGTTGAATGAGATGTTAATTGGTGCGGCGGCGGCGGCGCGCATGACAGCCAAACGGGAATGCAAACAGCAATAAAAGCGCTGATGAATACATTTTGAATTATGAATGCGAACATGCCGAGGAGGAGAGCAAAGTGTGGGGCAAGTGAGGCATGCGGTTGGGGAAGGCATTTTTCAGTTATAAAATAACTTTATACATATTTGTATTTGTATTTGTTATTTGAACCGGCGCTTAAGCGCTTTGATAGAGTTAATTTTAAAGGTTTTGTAGCTATTTATTTTTTTCTGTTTTTGTTTTTTTTTGCTTTTGAATGCCATCAAATTAAGTCACGAATATCTCAGTTAACGGACCACCGTTTTTTGTTTTTTAACGGCACTTTGATGTATATTAAAGGTTTCATAAACGATTTGAGGCATGCAACCGTTGGAAAAATCGTGCGTTTAACTAGGTTTATTGTCAATTCGCTAGTGAATTCCTTTTATTTAGATTGTGCACAATATAAGTTTAATTACGCTTACATTATTGTCGATTTCTGTGTATTCAAATTTGAAAAGTGCTCTCAAAAAAAAAAAGTCTAACCCATAACTCATTTGCCGCCTTAATGTTTTACCAAAAGTCCATTCATCATTGCTGTCCCATGTGTTTTATGCAACATTTGCCTCGCTTATGTGGGTGGCAAATATCCCTTCACATTCTTTTTTTTAGCCTTATTGCATATTTTATTTTTCCGTAATTATGCAATTACTGCTCAATTAAAATGTCAGTATGGCCATTAGTGGGCATTGTAAGTCGATACAAGAAATTTAAATTGATTTAAATTGCTCGAAGCTTGACAAATTGCTAGCTGCATAAACTTAAAATTTAAGACTTAAATTACAACATAGTCTTTTTTTTTAAATGACCATAAAGTAAAGTGTCTGCATCGAATTTTAAGTTCTTTAGCGTACAAAATTAAGCGCATCTAATGCGCAGACGTGTATTGGAAAATGTAATAAACTCCTTGAAAATGCCATTGTTGGAAACAAAAATAAAAATTTGATTCAATAGGTATGTATATTTTAACTATAATGAAAGAACAAGTCTCTCGTACGTGGGCAGCAAAAAAAGTTTGAGTCACAATATTAATAGCTGCCAAGCAGTGTCGTCACTCGTGGGGGTAGGCTCGTAAAATTAAGTTTACCAAAATTTTTTTCCTGCCGATTGATTCTTCTTACGGCACGAGGTTACTTTAGGCGAAATGGTTGCACCGAATAGGGGCACTCTGGCCCACTGTCACCGATCCTTCGCTGTGCGTCGAGAACAAAATTTCGCATTCGGTAGCTGTCTGTTCGCGAGAGCTCCTCAGCGCCAGTTAATAGTAAGTGCGATCTAAGGTGTTTAGACTGTAGCCTCGCAAAAACTGAACAGTTTAAGATAAAGTTTTGGGACGACTCAACCTCACTAAGCAGCTTTTATGGTGCGAAAGCGGGGGAAAAATACCCAACGGCCAGTACCCTGTCAATACAACCACCAGTATTTACAGCTTCGGTTTTATGAACCCAACAAGATCTCTTGGCCGCCTGCGATTCACCATCGGCAAGAAGGACCGTGACGTTGCATATGGTCATATTCTCGCCTAGCTGGCACGAGGCCTGCCAGTCAAATAATGGTCCACTGTTAGCTAAAGATACCTGCACTCTCTGGTTTTTTAACTGTGAGATGAACTCGTGGGTTTCTTTCCTGGTCAACTCATCCACAGCACAGTTTGGAGGTAACGCATTCCCCTACTAGCCTTGGCTTTTAGAGTAGATGTTTACTTCCAATTCCACACAATCGACTGTTTCCTTAATACTACAGTGATCTGGCAACCGAAATTCGAGATTAATAGAGCGCTCCATCCATACCGTTGTGCCATCATCGCTCTCACTTTTCGTTCTGACAAAGATTGTTTCTTTCGATTGATGACAATTTACTGTGGTTTTAATCAATTAGAGGCAATGCTCTATTTCCAATAAATGTAAGTATGGAAAGAGTATGGTGTTCCAAATTTTGTGTTCTGATATTCAGATAATTATGAAGGAATTTGTTTCTCCCAAATGCTTCATCAATCGTTTCCGTTATTGTTTGGCCAATAAAACTTCACGGGCTCCCAAGTCAATATAAGCAGCTGCAGGAATGACAGATAACAAAAAAAAAACTGAGTTTTTGATGCACATATTTAAACTGAGAAAAATCCATGCAACGCCTAAACTTGATAACGATATTTGAGTTGGTTTAAAGTTGGAATAGACGATCCTCAGAAAAGCTATCACGACACAATAAACAAATAACGCCAACTACATGTCGAACTATCACACTATGCCATATACATATTCGACTAGAGGGTTTTTGAAGCTCACTTCTTCTCGGGCCAAGGGTATATTCAGTTTTCTCTAGGCATAGATCGTCCAAAAAACATTCCCTTTAGAACCCAAGCAGCTGCTCCCGAAAGACCCCCGACCCGTCTTTGCACTACCGAAAGTTCGTTGAATTATTTGGGGCAGAATTTCTCTTCAAAAGTTAACAGTGTGCCAGTTGAGTAAGCCCTCGAGTATAGACCGCACTTGTGGACAATGGATCCCTCGGAACTCAAAGCGTTGAGTAGATGTCTCTTTTCCCACTACGAGTGGGAACTTAACAAGATCGTACTGGGTATCTATAAGTCCGAGATAAGAAAAATAAAAGCGATTAATGGTGGAAATTTTGCTAATACGTGGAAGGAAACTGCTCCCCTTGGGATACTTGAAAAATCCACCAGCGGAGGGGAATCGCTTAAGCTTCTCCTCGACGTTCATTTTCCGTGTACCGTTCGTAGAGTGGTGAACTGCCTTTGGTAAACTGCTAGATAAGCGCCTACTGCTTTGGGTGATTAATTCTTTTAATCCTAGACTGTAACTGTAAAATCATAATTTATCTAAACGTTAAAAATGGATTTATATTTTTTCGATCAAATTTAGCTGTTATTTAATCATTTTTATATTTGCGATCATATTGTAACTGTTATTTTTAGGTTTTTTTTTTAGATTATGAAAGATTTAAATCGTTCATAAAAACCCCGTCTCCATTATAGCGGTTAAAATTTATTGAAAAATAAGAATCCAAATTTAACGACTATTCTTGATTGAAAAAATATAGATTTTCCAATTATTTAAAAGTGATATTTAACAGTTATTTTCGGTCCCTGATTTTAAGTGTTGTGGAGGTTTCATGTCGCTGGTTCACTCCCATCTTTGCCAGCTGCGTAGACCCAGGGGTTTATCCGAGCACTTGAAGGTCTGTGAGGGTCACATTTATTCCCAAGGCGGAAAAAGCTCTCATGCGTATCCGAAGGATTTCAAACCAATCAGCCTCCCTTGAGGGATTAATTTAGCTATATATACAAAATAGGTTTCCTCAGGAACGATAACGACTCTGCTTTTCATATTAAACTAAAATGAATGCATTAAAGAAAAATGCTATGACGGAATAAAATCTCTTGGCCTTGAAATGGCCATTACATTATTGAGTTATCCCCAGATGCCGATATTTGGCATACAGCTCTGTGTGTAGCCGTGCCCTTTATTTGCTGATCGATCAAAAGAAGAACCATTTTGCGAGCAGTGTTTAGCCATTCCTTGCCACAGTAGAGACTAAAGCTATGCAGTTGACAGTTTCGGCATTTTAAAACTCTCAAATAAATCGATGTCTACGGTGACAACGCAGTCGCCCCCTTCCTTTACTAATTTCCGCATAAGCCCATGAAAAAATGCACAAAAAATTCAGTCATTTTCAAGCATCACAACAAAGTGTAGTATTAAGCGTCAAAGACGGCGGCAGTAATGGCACTGACTTGAACAAGAGGAAGCATATAATTTTTGTATATATATATGCATATCCAACAACAGCTTAAAAGCGAACCAAGAACAGCAGTGAAACTCCTACAAACAAATTTTGCTTGTACATATATATTTTTATTTTTGCGTAAAAACATCAAGCTGGCGCTGCAAATTAATGTCACCTTGGTTCGGTAAGCGTGGGACGGCTGTGATTGGCCATGTCACAGCAGAAAATTGTCAAACCTATGCTGATAAAAAACACACCCGCTTATATTCTCATGCCATTTTGCATTCAATTTGTATGTAAAAATTGTTGGAATATTTTTTTTTTTCGTCTACCTTTGTCATACGTTTACAAGCATACTCGTATTTAAAGCGTTAAATTAGCAAAAATTTAATAACGCGCATTCAGGAGTGTATTAAAATGCATTAAAGTGTATTAAAATAACAACAAAAGCACAACTTTGTAACCACTCACCGGCGTAGTGCGCTGCGACAACCAATTATAATGTCATGTCATTTTTTTCTTCTAGTGTTGTACAGCGCATTTAATACACTGCAAGAAATTTGGTTAAATAAAACACCGAAACATATTTCTACTGGTTTGTTGTTGAAACTTTTGTAGATTTTGGTTTGGTTTCTCGATC